CAGTGTGTGTGTGTGTGTGTGTGTGTGTGTGTGTGTGTGTGTGTGTGTGCAACCAAGGTTGCTATTTGAAACGGACAGAATGATAACAACAGTAACAACCCCAACGGACAGACGTCTTGTTAGCTGGCTGGGACGTGGGGAAAATTGTGATCTGGCCTCGTAACGGAATCCAGACAATGTCAGAGAGGTGAGAGGGAATTGTGGGAAGAAATATGACCGGAGAGAACTCCATTCTTGTGATTAAGCGCGGGAAACACAAATGTGCCGAATTTGCAGAAGAAGAAAAAGCAAACAAATTGACGTAACCAGACATAAGCCACTAACACTTATTCATAAGAATCATTTACTTTTCTTACTATTTGTTTGTTTTCTCTCTCACATTATTATACATCTCAGTGACGTTTTGTTCTTTTTTCTTACCAATTGACCGCCACATGTGGTGTAGCGGACTGGCTCTTTGCCAGAGTTCGTTTCCCGATCGGGGAGAACTTTTTATTCAATATCTTGTTCTTTCTGCTGGGATATTGTATCTCTTTCAGCCCGGATTGACCGTTACAGATAAGGACGTAAGCCTGCCTCCTAAATGATCTAAATTGTGTTGATGGTTGCCTAAAAACACCTGTATTCTTACCTACTTTGTGGAATACTTTTTACTACGACATATTATTGACAACTAAAACTCACCAACACTGACGTTTGTGTCTTTATACAGCCTATCATGCACATAGGGAAATCGACTGAACTTGGACATAGTTTTTAAACGTACGAATTTCGCCTAGACCTATGTAATTGTTTTTGATACAATAAAACGACAACACATACGTTACTGTAGATTTTGGAAAAGTTATTAAGTTTTGTGTTTTCCCCAATTTTGAATGACCAAAAAAAAAATAGATTTTAAAAAAATCAAAACTTGTTGTTTCTCAGAAACGTGGACCGATTGTCTTAACATTGACACATTTGACGTCTCTTTGGCTAAATTATATTTGCTCAAAGTGTTTGTTGAAGTCGGTACACAAGAGTACCGAGTGTTGCCCTTTTCTCGGGTAGTCAGTTTTAGACACCCTGCATTGTAAGTGTGAGAGCGTAGAGGGAGAGGGTGGTTTTCTGGTTATTTCGTCCATTGTTGATGGTGCCTTTCTTCGAGCTGGTCATTTACTTATCACCCTTCTTGTGGTATTGTTGTCGCTGCGGCTGTTACAGTGTTAGTGGTACAATGTATTCTATATTCCCGTTCTTACATGCCGTTATACTGTAATGGCTATCAATAACATTCACTGGATACGATCGAAACCCGCCGTGACCACTTGTGATATGTTCGAAGCGATAAATAACAAAACTAATATTTCTATAGCTTAGGTTGTCAGCGCTTGCTCGAGAGCCATTAGCATAGAATTCTGGGAAATCCCAAAGGGGACCTCTTAAGTCCTATTATTCGCGCGGCGGCTACTTCAGAACTTCAGGCCCGTTGAAGCCAGAGGCGGGAAAAAAAGACAAGGCATCTGATGAAAATTCATGGCTGCTTCTAATTCCGCCAAGTTCACCGACGATCGCTATGGGGCTGTATACAGAAAGGGAAAGTGGGTACCCACTATTTTCGTTCGTTTTTTTCCCTTTTCACAAAGCATGTTCCAGTGCAAAACGTTACAACGCATAGTTGTTGTAAGTGTTTTCTAAGAATGACAAAAGGGTCTTATAGGAGAGGTTCCATGGACGCTGAAGCCGCTGTTGTGCGGGGGAACAGTGCGGGGCTTTAATCGGCAATTTGTCTCACTCTCCATCAGAAATCAAGGGAGCTCATCCAGTTATTTTCGGGAAGAGCAGATAACTGCCTTCTGGGACCAGGTCTATGGTCCGCGTTCTATGCTGCTTTCACACGAGAGCCTTTTGTCACGGAGGATGACCCTCTTAACAGGTTCTTTTCCCAAACACCTCATAAATGCGTGAAATGTGTATAGCAAAATGCGATGCAAACCAAAGGGCAGTGTAGAAAGGTCCAGAGTCTCTTAAAGAATACAAGTGTCGGAAAAGAATGCTTAATACTTTTGTCTTTAATTCTGAGGACTCTAGATTTTGAAGAAAAATAAAAAATTATCCATAATATTCGCAACACAAGTTACGCTTTTGAGACAATTTTCGGATGGATATACCAGAACATTATCGAACGCTGAATAAGAATCAGCAAAATTTAATGCTTTTTAGCCTTCAGGTTCAATGATACATATGCAACGATGTATGTACAACTCAGTCACACAATCGTACCCAAAAAGTGTGTCTGTGTTCACGAACTCTCTCTCTCTCTCTCTCTCTCTCTCTCTC